ATGTTTTAACAATAACAGCTGACATAATGGCAAGAGTATGTTACTGGTTGAAATCATTAAAAAGGAGATGATGTCATGGAACCATGTTTTTCAAGCTGATACAAGAGGTCCGATAAGGAATAGCATATCAAATGTCCCCCTCCACCTGAATGATGCAATCCATCAGCACAACAGCAATTTATGACAACACTTCACAGACAGATTTTGTTTTATCTTTGTGTTGTGTATAATTATGGCAACATTGTGCAGTTCTGTTATAATTTTTCTCCACATGATGAATAAGTGTAAAACTTGACTTAACTGTATAGAAAAACAGCTCGGAGAGATAAAGACCAAAGACACATAAGCAGATTAACCATATGGGCCATTTGGGGAAGTAGCTACGTGCCCAGGGGCACCACGCAAATATTTTTTTCTCTTTTAAAACAAGCGATTCATTCTCAAACAAACGTATCTCTAGCCTAGGCCTATGGACCCTTTCATCAGAACGTTCTTAATTCCCTGAATGTTTTGTTGAAAGTTTATTATTTTCATTATTTTGGACGTACGATCTACCGCCAGATCCACATTACTGCATGAGCACGCGCGTTTCATTTCAACGCCCATATTACACTAGCGTGTCCACTGGCACGGAGCGAGCGAGTGTTTTCAATTAATTCCAATGGAAGTTGAGCTGTATTTTGGTTGGAAATTAAAGTTGGGTTGACATCAGAACCCAACGTCGGACTGACGTCAGAACCCAACGCCATTTTGACGTCAACATCCGACGTCATACAGACAGATTTTGATTGGAAATGAAAGTTGTAATAATACTAATAGTAATAATAAGGCAGGGGCACCAAAGAGTCTTAATATGCCACTACATACATAAAGTATTTTATGTGCCCCATTGTATCTGTATATATTCATACAGTAAATGTGTGTCCACAGAATACAACAAATCTCACTTTCACACATGGCATAGTCTAAGCCAACTGTGCTGTATCAATTACATTGTTTTAGCAGGGAAAGAAAACCACTTGTTCACTGTTTTTCTGAGATATTTGAGGACCCAATCTTTGACGAGGGGTTACTGTGGAAAGTCCACTGGAATATGGCATGCAAAATTCTCTTAGTATGTCATGATAAGACTTTTTCATACTTCTTAACACACAGTAGAATTTAAATATATTTTATATGTGTTATCTTCAGCAATATTTCTTTAGGCACATAGGAGCGCAGGCACTTTGTGGAACAAAGCGCCTACAAAGACAGAGTGAACTGATGGCTTTATCTATAGAAATAGTCTGGCTTTGCAATGCACTCTGGGACCTAATGGCAGCCTTGGTTTTGTCTTTGTTCCATCTAAGTGCTTAGCAAGTGTTATTGTTGGCTTGCTGTTCCATTTCCCTCGCATTTGAGGCCTGAACTCTCTGCAGTGGCCCCAAACAAATACAGAGGGCCCAGCCTTTGTGAGAACCACCATGAACTACTGCCTCGAGAGGCACGGAACAGGTTTTAAATGACCAGCTGGTGTGCCCAAAGTGCTTTATTTTGTTAGGTGGCCATGTATATAAGAAAAATATTGTATTGGATAACCATGATGCAACCAAATTAGCTCCTGGTGCGAACAGTCATGTAGGCCAATTTTTCAAGTGATTATAAATTGTCATGTTTGTTTTATGACGCAGGGAAGAATCATTCACCTCTTCTGCTGTAACCAACACACAAAAACTTCCCGTTAGAACAACACAGAGATATGACTATTGCATAAAACAATGCTCTTATCATAAAACAGAGTTTATTTTTTCTTGTTGTTAATTGAACTCTCTCTTGCTTAAAGCATCAGCTTTAGGTATAAGAATCTGTGCTGTTGTTTTGCGGAGTGGTTCTTCGGTCTCTGCTTGTTTATTTAAACACAGCTGCTGTGTGGGGGAAAGGACACTGACATCATAACCACGCTTGCCCAAATGAAACCAGCAAGAGGCCTACTTCACTTCATATCATTCTTTTAAATGATTGAAACAGTCATTCGGACATGGCAATAAACTGAATGTGTATTTAGAACCAATGGCTGCGTTCAAAATGAGGCGAATAAGAGAGGAAATCTGTATTAATATGTTTTCATACTTCATAAAATAGATGTACAGTAACAAGTGAAGTTTTCAGTGAATTCCACATGCAATGGGAAATGTACCAAGCACACAGGGACACCTTGTGGTGTATTATGGGAAAATGTCCTGAAGCAAGATTTTACTTTTCTTTTTGGCCATAAAGCAATTATTTTTAATAATTAAATAACTTAAGCAAAGCAACTCACATTACTCACATTTTAACATTAATACATCTTCACATATGATATAACTATATTATATAATAGTTAGGTTCTTTTTTTGATAGGTTATATTTTATATTATGGATGGATGTCATATTTGTCACACAACTGAATCTTGATTGAATTCCTAAGATTAAATAATTTGGACATACTGTACTGCATACATAGGCATTGAGAGCTTGGAAACATGAAGGAGATACCAGGGGTCGCTATCATAGGTCGCTATTTGCATTCTTTGTTGCTCAAATACATTGTGAGACTAATTTCATAGCCTCATTCACAACACCTGTTTCTAAGAATTCAAAATGTCAGCGATAGGAGGCATCAGAAAATACAATAGCATTCTACTGGGTAAAATCTGATTCAAGTTCAATTAAATGAAAATTAATATATTAATTATTTTCTGACCTATATATATGACAAGTATCGCCCAAATCGTGTAACTTTAGTTACAAGACCATAAAGAGACATCAGAAAATTTATTCATTGCTATTTACCATGCTATAGGACACAAATAATAGATTTTTTTTCTATTATTGTAAAAAAAAAATTAAAAACATGAATTTTATTTTTGATTTTAATGTTTGTATCCCCCAGGATACGTCGCCAATTTGGTGGTATAAATTAATTGAAAAAAGAACGCTTGTTTTGCAATGCGTGCTACAATTTTTTTGCCAAATTTTTAAAACATGTATTCTCTCATAACTTAAAGTAAACATTATTTGTAAAAAAAAAAATTGTTAAACAATAAGTATAATGCCTATTTAGGAATATATTAGCCGACTGTATATTTTTTATTATCTTTTTTCACACAATCTACTTCATGCATTCTGTCCTCTGATTGATAGTTCATACTTTTTTTAATGTAATATTTATAACTTTTTTATAATGTAAGAAGAACATGCAACCTGGGTTTACTTGATTATATATTTTTTAACATTAAAAAATATTTTTACAATTTTTCATGTTAATGTAAATGTCAAATATGACACAATAGGCTTTTGGGGAACATTTATTTGTCCATCTCTTAGTTATCATTGATTTGCAATTAATTGTATATATGAACCATGAAAGCCTAATGTATGAAATATGATACTCAACAAAAAAACACATGTGCATGTATACAAGTTTGCATGTGTTTTTTGTTGAGTATCATATTTCATACACACAGACACACAGACTGACACACACACAACCACACACACACACACACACACACACACACACACACATACACAAGTGTGTGCATGACATATGAAACTCAACCAAAAAATACATGCAAACTTGTATATGCATTTGTTTATATATATATATATATGTGTGTGTGTGTGTGTGTGTGTGTGTGTGTGTGTGTGTGTGTGTGTGTGTGTGTGTGTGTGTGTGTGTGTGTGTGTGTGTGTGTGTGTGTGTGTGTGTGTGAAATATATCAACTTTTATCTGAAGGTGAGTAGATTTCCCACTACAAGTGACCATGTTGTTTTTAAATGCTGCCCATAAGCTAAACAAAGAATGTATGAATGAAGACACCAGATCTAAATATTCACAACAAACACCCTTCAACATGAAACCAAGAAATGACACCTTCACTTTCACTGCCTCTCCCCACATCCTCTCAAATGTTTGTATCCCCTAGGATACAAAATCCTTTTTAGGGCTAAGTATAACTTGCCACAGGGTAGGCTGTGTACTTCTGCATTTATTGTTTTAGTGTTGTTGTAAAACACTGTCCACATGGATTAGTGTTTCTATTCTGAGGACTGATGACGTTCTTTGTCACCTTTTGCATGGCACAAGCTAATTTATCTTTCAGCAAGTGTCTGACATCATCTGAGCATTCATTTTAAACAGAAATTGCAATCTGCAGGGCGACATACTGCAGAAATGTGTTCAGAAATGTGTCACACATGGATTAAGGTTGGCGGTTCTGTAGCCTATGACTTTGATGCCACAGAGAAATTATACATTTTCAGGATCTATTTTTGGCTAGAAGAGTGTAGTTGCCAATCACTTCCACCACTAAAGCTGCCATAAATCCACCCAGGACAAGCATGGGCCACAACTGATCATAACAGAGGCCGGCTATTTTGTTGTGACAACATTACCAATGTTTTCTTTAGTAGTTACAATAAGGTAAGCTGCATAATTATAGACTTAATTGTGGACTAAACTGGATTGACTGTTGGTGGGAGAACTTAGAAACAATAAAAGTCTATGCCAGATCCATAAATCTGAAGGTCCTCTTGCAGGCCATTTTGTCACAACAAAATGTATTATGAAATTTTCTCAATATAATCTGTCAACAATCTATCTATCTACAATTACAGTATTCAGTATCCAAATCGTAAAAATTACAAAAATACGGTGTATAGAAAATAATAAATGTAAAAAAATAAACATTTTATAAAACATATAAATAAATAAATGCGAAATAAAATAAAAGGGACGAGCTGAATAAATATGGACAGGGAAATAATGTAGATATTTACTAAATATGGTTAAACATTCGATTCTAAATCTGTCTGTCTCTCTATCTGGTCCTATTTCTGATCAAAAACTAAAACTTACAGACAGTTAACCCAACCATAATGTTAATGTAAAACAATGTGAATGTGGTAGGCTACAACGTGAGGGCGGGCTTGTAGTACTGACGTCATCAGCTGGGTGTCTCTCGCCCGACTTTGGGCTCCTGTCTCCTCGCTCTCTCCCTCCCTGTGAAGCGAACAGGGGGGAGAGGATCATTAAAAAAAGCCAGGAACGGCGACAGTGACAGCGCCTCCGGCTCCGGCGCCTGTGCGCGATCCTCCAACACTCGCACCAATGCGCGCGCTCACCCATCTCCACCAGACACCGCCGCATCACACCATTGAGCCCGCAGTCTGATATTTACCCCCCATTTTATTGTTGTTGAGCATCCGACATACGACCAACCAACCATCGAGACGCAAACACTTCCATTTCAACCCTTCATCTGAATGACGGGCGGACGGTTCGACTTCGACGATGGCGGCACTTTCTGCGGTGGATGGGATGACGGAAAAGCCCACGGACATGGCATCTGCACCGGCCCCAAGGGCCAGGGCGAATACTCCGGGTCCTGGTCCAACGGGTTTGAGGTAGTCGGGGTGTACACCTGGCCCAGTGGGAATACATACAAGGGCTACTGGGCTCAGGGGAAGCGGCACGGGCTCGGCGTGGAGTCCAAGGGGAGGTGGCTGTACCGCGGGGAGTGGAGTCACGGATTTAAGGGTCGGTATGGGGTTCGCCAGAGTCTCAATACACCTGCCAGGTATGAAGGCACATGGAGTAATGGACTGCAAGATGGTTATGGGGTCGAGACATACGGGGACGGGGGTGAGTTCAGCTAAACATCACTTGACCTATTTAATGTTCTTTAAAGTCTTGCGTATATGTGATTATGCTGCTGCTGCCAAGTGAAATCAGGTCTCTGTTTTGTAATATAGGCTATCATTATAAAACTAAGGCCTCTTATGTATAATATAAGGATTCTTTTTTTCTTCTTCTTGTTTTGTGAAAGATCAAAGCAAGATTGTACCTTGAGTTATTTCCACTGCCTGACTGTTAGATTTTGCCCATAAATCATGGTCTACAGATTTATGAAGCAGTTTGCCCATGCTGTTAAGTTGATGAATGGCGTATTACTGGACTGGTCAGCAGAAGTTGCTCACAGAGGTCATGGCTAATAATAGTTCCATCTGCAACATGTCAAATGAAAGTTCTCCAGACTAGTAGACCAGCAGACAAACTCTTGTCTCAACTTATTCCTTTTGCAAAACATATTGTAACATGAAAATTCTGTGCCGTCATTTCAGTCGCTGGAAGTTAAATATAGGAAAATGGGCATTTATTTAAAAATGAAGTTAAAAGTGTGGAATTGTCCACCTGTTAATTTAATTCACTTGTTAGTACACATATTTACTGTCACATTACAAGTGGCATTTTGGTGGCTGTATATTTTACAGTTCATAAGCATAGGCTACTGTATATATTGTTAACTAATATCATGTTAATCTACAAATGTACTTGAATGTGCTTTGTATCATAAAATAAACAGACAAATAAGTGGTGAAATAGAAGGCCACACGATGAACTGAAATTAATTCAATAATGGTATAAAGCAACATATAAAATGTAAAACATAATTTTAGCATTAATTTGTGGTAAATATATGTGTATTACCTTGTAAAATATAATATTTCTTTTTACAGTGGATGATTAACTTTTTATTCTCAGAATTTCACTCTATAATTATTAATTATTGTCCTTTTAAATCTAATATATATATATATATATATATATATATATATATATATATATTTACAGTTAACATGTTATAATTATAACATTACTTACAGTGTATGTTACCTGAATAAAATTAATACCTGATATTGCAACATCTTTAAAATAGCTAAAAGTATATAGTCAAAATTGATTTGCTTACGGTAAGAAATTGGTTTATTGAATATAACTAAGTTACAAAGTGCATAAACAACATTATTATTCAAATAACTTAAATAACATTGCACAGTACATTATTAAGTCTTTAAAGAAGAAATTTTAATCCAAGGTAATTTGACATTTAGACAAGACTTTGGCAAGAACCATGAAGTTTTCTTGAAATGTGGTGGCATCAGAGAGTTAGGGCTACTGTCGAATTTATTAGGCAGGGTCACACATTACCACTTATTCATAACTCACTTTCATCTTCTGCAAAAAGCCCTGAAAGAACTGATAGCTCAGCTATAGGCTGCTGAGACAGAGTGCTGCTGTGCACAGTATATATACCATAAGTCACTTCCATTCTGCCATTTTACCTGTTATTTGAATATTAGCTTCTCAGCATTGCTTCTGTAAGGCAATGACATACGCAGAATGGAAAAAAGAAGTGTGATGTCCGCATACTAAAAGTAACAGCTCCAAACAACTTTTTATTGAAAGCGCGACATTTCGACTATCGGGTCTTCATCAGACACAATGACATCCTTCTTTTTTTTTCATTATTGTTATTTTGTTGTCCTGCACCTGAGCCCAGTTAGGGTGCGTGGGCTGTGCACACCTTTGTGTTTTTGATTCTTCAAAGACATACGCAGAATCATAAGGAATGAATGGATAAAAAAGAGTTCTGGTTGGCTGGAGCCACAAACTTCACAACAGCTCAGATTACTCCCATGTTTTAAAATAGTGCTGGCTGTTGAAGCTGTTAGGTCTGACAGGCCGGCATATGAGATATAGGAGGGAGAGCTGTTCACTTCGTCAATTCACCGTCATAACGTGGATAAGATTACACCTGTATATTACTTGCCTGACGATAATTTATTCAGTTATAATCTGATGGTTTTTTATTTATGCATTTTAGCACTTTGCATGTTTGCTGAAGATAAAAAACAACAACAACAACTCATTCCTAGACATGGTGGCAATAGAGAAAAATGCCTAATGTTTATATTGAACAGTGAGTACATGTATGAACTGTTCAAAAGTTTGGGGTCAGTAAGGTTTTTATCCAGCAAGGGCACATTAAAATGATCAAAAGTTACAGTTGAGATATTTTTAATACTACAAAAGATTTATATTTCAAATAATTGCTGTTCTTATGAACTTTCTCTTCACCAAAGAATCCTTAAAAAATTTAAATATTAAGCAGCACAACTGTTTTCAACATTAATAATAATATTTTTTTTCTTAGTACTAGTAAATTAGCATATAAGACTGATTTCTGAAAGATCATGTCACACTGAAGAGTAATGATGCTGAAAATGTAGCTTTGCCATCACAGGAATAAAGTACCTATTAAAATATATAGAAAACAGATATTTTAAACTGTAATAATATTTGTAATAAAATATATTACTGTTTTACTGTATTTTTGATCAAATAAATGCAGCCTTGGTGAGCATAAGAGCCTTCTTTCAAAAACATTAAAAAGTCTTACCGACCCCAAACTTTTAAACATTAGTGTGTTTTGAAAGATTCTATTCATGGTTTCTTATGGTAAATTGTTCTTAAAATAATTTATCAGTAATGTACGCTTCCCCCCGGCTAGCTGTCTTTATTCTCGAATTCAGTCCTTTTATAGATTCTTTTAAAAGATTTTAGGAAATAATAAAAGAAGGTCTATGATTATTAGTGCTTGCAGTTTAGAACTCCTTAAAATAGGAAATGGAAATACCATTCACTAATACTGTTTTCAGTATTCATGGAATGCAAATAAATAAATGAATAAATTATTTATTTAAAAAAACATCTTTTGTTAATTATTGTAATGTATCTAATTCATTATTTAATCTAATTAGCTTGGGATTATTGTGATGCCTTAATAAAAAAAAATCTAAACATTCCTTAAAAACATCAAAGCACCTCGACATGTTAGTTTCTCTAGTGTTTTCTTTTGTATGTAATCCCTGTATTATGTGTTATGCAATATCTAGTCTAAAGTCTCTCTAATCCCTTTGCCAGGTACATACCAGGGCCAGTGGATGGGTGGCATGCGACACGGCTATGGCGTACGTCAGAGCGTGCCTTACGGCATGGCCACTGTCATCCGCTCCCCGCTGCGCACCTCACTGGCCTCCCTCCGCAGCGAGCAGAGTAACGGCTCTGTCCTGAACGACCACATGTCCGACAGCCCTGCTGGCACCCGCGGGGGCTTTGTCCTGAACTTCCACAGCGACAGCGAAGTGGGCTCCGGCAAAAAAAAGGGCCTCTTCAGAAGGGGTTCGCTGTTCGGGAGCCTCAAGCAGCTTAGAAAGTCCGACTCCCGCTCCTCCATATCCAGCAAGCGCAGTTCGGCGCGAAGTGACGCCACCATGAGCCGCATAAGCTCTAGCGACGCAAACTCCACCATTAGTTTTGGTGATGGAGAAGTGGCAGACGAGTACATGCCAACTGAGGACAACGTCGATGCCACCACAACCGAGTCGTACATGGGCGAGTGGAAGAATGACAAGCGGAATGGTTTCGGTGTCAGCGAACGCTCCAATGGGATGAAATACGAAGGGGAGTGGATAAACAACAAGCGGCATGGCTATGGGTGCACAATTTTCCCTGATGGGACGAAAGAAGAGGGGAAGTACAAAAATAACGTTTTGGTGCGTGGTATCAAGAAGCAGCTTATTCCCCTCAAAAACACCAAGACAAAGCAGAAAGTGGACCGTGCCGTTGAGGGAGCCATAAGAGCGTCTGCCATTTCCCGAACAAAAGTAGAAATCGCCACCTCAAGGTTAATACTTCCTCCAGATTAATCCTACACCACACTTTCAATTGCATCTATTTACGAAAACATCTCTTTTTTTCCCGTTATCTTGCACATAAGACATACGTTTCTACATCTAACTAACGGGATTGCTCACAATAATTACATTCCTCCAACCAACATAGCACATGCATGCTCTATCCCAAACTGTAAAGGAGCTAAAGTCTGCTCATTCGCCCTCATGTGAATGAGCGAAACGCAGCAGGGAAGTGACCAGGCAAACAGGCAGGCAGCTATTGTGCAGAAGAGCCCCAATGAATAGTCTGTTTGCATGAGTGCCATCACATGCCCCCCGGCCATAGCTCTCATGCTGATCACATAATCAATGCAGAGCCAACAGGATGTACTGAATGAAATCGCAGAGGAATCAGGGGTGCCAGTCGTAACATTTATAATCATTTAAAAAATGTTTAGAGGAGTAATTGCATGGTACTGCTCATTACGCCGATTAAGCATATACGTTCCTAAGAGAAGTTAAGCACAGATATATCCTGCTCGGAGGAGATACTTATGTAACTTCATGGTGTGGTGGGATGTGTAAATCAAATTGCAAATGCATTTTCAAAGGCAATGCTGCTTCATACCTCTGGGATTGAATTACCGTCAGTTCTTTTTATATGTATCATACATAACACTTAATTATCAATTAAGTCACACATGGAATGATTAAGGAATATCCATTATCGTTTTCTAAATGGCATTTTCCCACCTAAGAAAAGTAAAATTTTTCTCTTGTAATTCATTGACAAAGCTTGCTAAATGCACACATCGATTTTTGCAAGTTGAAGCAGGTTGTGAAGATCAGAGTGTGTTAAACAGGAACTCAATAATGTTGTGTGAGCTGAGTGGTACCTCTGATTTATGCTAGGACATGTGAACCTTTGTGCTAATGCTGGCATGGTGTTGATTCTGAAGTTTAAGAACAATTTTTCACTTGCGAGAAATCTCCTTTTAATTTGAGATACATTTAGTTATTCATTTTTGTTCCTTTCCTCAGACATTTGTTTCTCTCTCATGAAATGCACCAGAAAGACAACGACGTTATGCTTAAAGTGATAAATGATGTTTCACTAAACAAAGTTCGGCAGGAGCACGTTCAAATAATCAATCCAATTAACTTGTCATCAACAATCATCACGAGTATGATGAGTACCATCAGCATGAGAGGAAGCATATCCATAGGCCAGTTTTTCAGCATCCCTCCACCATCCCGACACCTCACTACACAGGCAGGAATATGGGGGGAGTACTCTGGGTTTGGGCCAAATACCGAACCCGGAGCCCTCTCCTCGGACAGCACGCCAAATATGCATACCATTTATTCTATCTGACTTATTTGTAAGTGTGAACTCAAAACCAAAAATGGACCTTCTGTCATTATTTCACCCTCATGTTGTTCCAAACGTGTACTGTTTGAAATCAGTGAAACACAATATGTGAATCTTTTAAGAATATCCTGGGCTCTCTTTTTAATAATTATGGGTGAATTAGGACTGGGGCTGTCAAGCTCTAAAATGGCAATAAAAGCACCATAAATAAAGTGATCAATATGACTTATACGCTGGAAAACATTACGCTCACCCCAGCTTTCCTCGCTGTGTTCAAAAGAGTTCAGTAGTGATGTCAGATTTGTGAATGAATTATTCTTTTGAGTCTGAGCTTTTCTGTGAATCAGTTGATTTAATGAATCAGACCGATCTGGTTCTCGATTTCAGCTCACTTTCATTGATCTGGTCTTAGTGGTTAACAACTCACAGACAATTATCAGTGCATAACCTAAATTTGAGAGTCTGTTCATCAGAGACATTTTGTCAAACTCAAAATGAACCACTTTTGTCAAACCACTCCAGTCCTAATTCTTTGTAATTTCAAGAGCGACCAGTGCATTATTTCTCCTTTTTTGATTCACGAAGGAAAGAAAGCAATGACAGAATATTATTTTGTGTACTTCTTTAACAGTATTTAGTGTTACTTTATTGTATTTTTCATTGTTTTCTAGCTTGAACGTTCTGCTTAGCTCTATTAATGCAGTTATTTACTTCTTTCTGTTATCACAAAAACCATGTCCATGTCCTGTTCGTTCATTACCATGGGCTTCTTTCTTATAGCTGAAAGAGTATGAATTTGAATGAAATCTGCTGTACTGAGGCTTGCACAGTCCCATGAAGCTAATGAAATAATAATATGTCCCAGAGCTGCTGGATGAATAAAATATCTCAGTGCCTTTGATGACTGTTAGGGAGAGAAGTGATAAGCACTGTGAGGGGTTCAGGGAATGGTCGGAGAGCCTGAGGCTTCAGATTGCCTTGAAGGAGTCTAGAAAAAGACAGAGAGAGCGAGAGAGGGTTCTCCGGCCTGTGCTCTCTCACACATGTGTACACAGTGTCAGCACTGAGCCTGACTAAATAAGGCAAGGCAGGAGTTGGCTTCTCAATCGCTGACAAGAATATAGTCTTGCAGCCGTCACTGACACAGTAGCCAGTCTGCGTCCTGTTATCATCTGTTAGAGCACTCAGGTTTAGAGCCGTGTGTGTGTGCGCGTTTATCCTGTCATCACAGACTTTCTTTTTAACCTGGCAATCATAATTTATTCCAAAATATAATAGTTATTATTGTATACTGTATGTTATTTAGTTTCATTTTATTCAGAACTTTTTGTTAATGACAGTGGTGAGGAGACTGTGGAAACTATGATATTTTGGTGGAAACTATTAATTATTTAATTTTTTAGGTGATTATGTAAAAAAAAAAAGATTTTATGAAAGATTTATGTATCCTGCAAATTTGTAGATTTGGTCAAGGCTTTAACAGGCGGGATTACTTTAACAGATTAACCATCTTTCTTAATCTTCTGTTTGTCCTCCACAACAGTTTATGTAGATAAATGTTTTCTTCTATGGTAATCTGCTTTATATGCTCCGTTTTGTACTGGTTTGTTGACTGCGAAATACATTTTATGTTGTAAAGTTTCCATAGGCACACTTACGCTTGTTTGATGTATGTCCAAGGCAAACATTTTGCATTTTTAAAAGGATTTTTAAAAATGTTTTTGAAGAATTATCCTATGCTCACCAAGGCCACATTTATTTAAACAAAAATACAGTAAAAAGAGTAAAATTATATAATACAATATAATAATATATGACATCACTTTTGACCACTACAAATTATAGATATATATATATCCCCATCTGGGATATGTATAATAATATAATTCTTCTTCAGTTAACACATTCAGTTCATTATATATAATGAACTGAATGTGTTACCTGAAGAAGAATTATGAGATTAATCACGATAAAACATTTTTAGTGATTTGCAGCCCTCTAATGTGAAAATTACTTATCAATGTAGTCTGGCACATCAATGGGAATATCATATAAACTAGCACTATAAGAATATGTTCAGAAATGTACGTTTGCAAAGGCTAACTGGACAGATCAGAATCGAGACACGTGTTGCTGTGAGCTCAAGCTGGGAGGATGTGCTCCTTTTCACATCTTTATCTGAGCGCTTGTGTGTGATAGAGTGGGCGAATGTGAGGAGACACTGCCAAATTAAAACCCTCAGAATTTCTGCAAGTGCTCCATCTGTCGCCTAGGAGATGTTCTCTGGCTCAGACTCCAAAGAATATTACATTAGGTCTATTAACGCCTAGAGAAGATACTGCTTATTACTTGGCTGACTAATAGAATGTAGATGCTCTCTTAATATTATATTAATATTATACATGTCTTGTGTGTTTAAAGGAGCCATGCTTGTTTATTTGAAATAGTTTGGAATTCTAATCAGTAGTAAGTAGTCCTATTTAAAGGGACAGTTCACTCAAAAATGAAAATTCTGTCATTTTTCACTCACCCTAATGTAATTTCAAACCCCTATGCTGTCATTCATTTTGGTGTATTCTCAAGTCATACAATAGCATTATATGGAGCCCCTAAGACATAGTGATGGAAAAATATATGAGAGGGAAAAAAATGTAAATGCCTTTCCGTTCTCGTTTAGCTTTCCCCAGAGAAACGTTACGTTCGCTTGCAAAAAGTTTGCGTTCCCCCAAGAACTTTGCGTTTTTAGGAGAACTCGGTGGAACGCAAACATTTTGTAGAGAACGCAAAAACATTGACTTATTATTTTTCCTCCCATCTCATACTTTTTTGCACCCACATGTCATTTTAGGGGCTCCGTAGCATTGTTATACCAAAAATTAAGTACATTTTCACTGATAATCTTTACCACTAAATGTCATTGATGTCTTTCCAAATGCATAAATGTAAATATTGCAACATAAGTAAATAATGACTTTTGAAGGTTTCATATTTGGGTAAACTATTCCTTTTACATGTTTCATTTCACAATATACACTACTGTATAGAGTCTGTAAGATTTTGTTTTTGAAAGAAGTCTCTTGTGCTCACCAAAGATGCATTTATTTGATAAAAAAAACAGTAATATTTTGCAATATTACAATTTAAAATAACTGTTTTCTATTTTAATATATTTTAAAATTGTATTTATTCTTGTGATGGCAAAGCTGAATTTTCAGCATCGGTTCAGTCTTCAGGGTCACATGATCCTTCAGAAAACCATTCTAATATGATGATTTAATGCTCGAGAAACATTTATTATTATTATCAACGTTCAAAGCGGTTTTGTGGCTTAAAGTTTTTGTGGAAACCGTAATCCCGTAATTTTCCTCAGTATTTTTGAATAATAGAAAGTTGAATAGAACAGCATTTATTTGAAATAGTTTGTTTTTCCCTTTACTGTCACTTTTGATCAATTTAATGCATCCCTGATTAAAATTGTAAATTTCTTTTAAAAAACTGCGCCCCTTTGAATGTTGTGTTCAGCAATGCTGTTCAAGCTAAGGCTGTCTCTCAAGGCCCCGTGAGCTATTTGGATCCCCTCAGGAGCTGATCTGTGCTGGGATGGTTTGGGCAGAACCATAATAAAGCATTAATCTCGCTCTCACAGAGTATTAGAACTGCTTTTGCTCTATACAAGCGTCAGACCCTCAGTATATTTGTTTTAGCACTACCACACCATGACATGACTCTCTAAATCAAGCTTACATTATATCTTCCTCCTATTTAATGTTTCATTTATCACCATTATTGCAATTCTCAGCAGAGGACCAGTGTTACATGTTTCAATTATACTGTAGCATGTATATACAGTGCAGACCTTATTACTCCAGCTTTGTTTTTTTTAGAAGGAAAAGAGAAGGCTGGCTAGTTTAATTCATTCCGCCAGAGCTTTAGATTCAATTTAATTTACTCGCACAGCTCTTCTTAGAATGTGTCCTGAAAGCTCCTCACCACAGTTAAAGATATGATCCCTTAAAAGCAAGCTTAGCATAACAGTTGCAATGTGGACTTCAAAAGATACTTTGTCTGGAATGTTTCATGACAACTCAAGTAACACTTTATGACTTCATTCATATTAAGACTACATGGCCTGGTAAAATATTGGTGCAAAGAAAAAAACAAGAATGGTTAATGCAATCTTTAAAGGGGTCATATAATGGTACATGCACTTTTACAAGTTGATTGTACTGAAATGTGTGTTGGCAGTGCCTGTACATAACCATCATAAAATGATAAAAATCCATCCAGTGTTTTTGTTTTAATCTCCTTTTCCCCTGTCTCAAATCAAGCCGTTCGACCGTGTGACGTCACACGGTCGGAAGCCCCTCCCACGATTGTTGATTGACAGCAGCGTTTCAACACAGACCCGCCCTCGCTCGTGAGCGAGCTGTCAATCATAGTCCGCGCGGACCGCCGCGCTCATTGTTGATATGCTGGAGCACTGTCTATGAGCAGAATGGCGTCTAAGCGATTGTGGTGTTCTGTTCTTGGGTGTAATAACGAACACAGCAGTCATTTTAATGTTCCTAAATCCGAACCGCTGAAGACGCAGTGGCTGAGTTTGTTTTCGAAGGTAATATTCCCCACGAGCAACGTCAATGCTTTCATGTTTGCGCGAATCATTTCTCACCAGACTGCTTTATAAACGAGGGTCAGTATAGCTGGTTTTGCTAAGAAGCTGCTCATGAAAAAAGGATCGGTACCAGCTATTCGTGTTCCTGCTAAACCTCTAGAACAACTGAAGTGAGTGTAACGTTTTATTAAACTTTATATTAATATTTATATTAATCTTTGCAAATCGCTAGCTGCACGCTTCACAATGAATGCGTCTAAGGTTTACACTTAGGGTACATTACGGCATGTTTTCTATGTATGATGTTCTCAATATAATTCATAATCCCACGTTTATACTGAACAACGCGTTATGGTTATTGTGTTATTGTGTTACAAACGGTGTACACAGAACAGAGAGGCGGGGTGAGCAAAGCTCATTATCATTTAAAGTCATATGCACTGAAACAGCGTGCTGAAAACAGAGCTGTTTTTGACCAGGTAAAATAAGTGTTTTCTTACAATACTAATGAGAATTATTAATTAAAGTATATTACAAACTTTTAATTTAGACCCTAAAGAATCATACTAGCTTGTACAAAAATGGCATTATATGACCCCTTTAACAATGAGAGAGAAGATGGTATTAATATTCATATTTTACTCTGTATATGCGATAGGAATTTTTGAGTAGGACACTGCCAGAAGAACAGGCCAGTTTGACTGATATGACTAACCCTACAAAATGTGTTCACTCTAGATGAAATGAACTAAACCAACTAAAAATAGGTTTAATGTCATGAGGCCTTTCAGTGCTCATGGCACTGCATATCTGTATATGAAGGTATTATACTGTAACATAAATCTGTATACAAAACTGTCTTCACTGACTCACTCAGGCATACATCCTCTTAACAAGTGTTAATCCGATGGGTTATTTAAGGCATTTTTGGGTTGATACAAAATACTAAGTTATATTTAAATGTTTTGTGGATTAAATAGTTTGCTGTATATTAAATATTGACAATATATTTACAATGGCTTTGGAGTCACCATAAAACTTTGTGCATATTACATTGATTTAATGCTCTTATAGTGTCCTAAAAAGTTTTTTTTTCTCGACAAGTATTATGTTCTAGACCATTAAGACAGAGACGGTTTGATCATTTATTTGATTTGAGCTTAAGTAGCAAAACCAGTGTTTAAAGTTGTTTGAGAGTGTTTGATTCGTTAAATTGACACTCTTGATTTGAAGATTTGTTTGGATCATTACTCAGAAATGCTCCTTGCATTAAAAATTTCATAGCAAATACCTATATATATAAACATTATCACAAGACTGATTAAGATACTCTACGGTTCAAAAGTTTGGGATCAGTAAGATTTGTAATGTAATCTTCTGTGATGGCAAAGCTGAATTTTCAGCATCATTTCAGTCTTCAGTGTCACATCATCCGTTAGAAATTATTCTATGCTGATTTAGTGCTCAATAAACATTTCTTATTATCAGTGTTGAAAACAGTTGTGCTGCTTAATATTTTTGTGGAAACTAATAACTTTTTTCAGGATTCTTTGATGAATAGAAAGTTCAATAGTTCGCATTTATTTGGAATATTAATCTTTTGTATCACATTATGTCTTTACTGACACTTTTGATCAATTTAATGATCCTTGCAGAATACATTTTTTTTTTTTTTTTATAAATCTTATTGATCCCAAACTTGTAAACGGTAATGTATGTTGAACACTGTTTAATGGTGTTTATCAAATATGATCAAAAGACTGAAATAGCTTAAGATGTTTTAAAATAAATATTTATATATTGCTCAGCCCTAGATATTTGTATATTGACAGAGGACGGTTTACTCTTTCCAAAGTTTAATGCCAACAATTAGCTCAATTTGTAGCATCCTTCACTTTTTATGAATAGGAAAATGAAAGCAGTACACACACAGTATCGTAACTTGTTTCTTAGCTTGTTAATGAATGCATCTTTGTGTGCTTGTTGTGAGCAGCTCTGTGGACTCTGGCCATGCAGCCACTGCAGTGGTGGTGACTGACAGTGCCAGGGGCAGTGTTAAAATGATGCACTCTTCTCCCATATCTTATCTTCCAAGTTGTCTGACTCCAGCTCTGTGTCTTTGCTTTACCCAGAACCGCACACGCCAGGGCCAAAGCAGAGGCAGCTGACCAGGGCGGTCTGTCTGCCAGCCAGGACTCTGATATCGCCAGAGCAGTGGCCAGAGAACTGTCCCCCAACTTCCATCAACCAGGTATCCCACCATCCATGCACACATTCGCTTTCTCTCATGCATACTCACGTTTTATATGCCCTTTCACCCCTCCCTAATTACTCCCTTTGTGTCCTTGTCTTTGTGTCTGGGTCAAGTGTCTCTTTTTTGCCTCCCTGTCAAGCAAAGAAAAAGAGAGCAGATGCAATTGCAAATGAGTTGTGAGGGGGAGGAATATAATTTGCATAAATGATCTACTGCTTCTCTGAGCCCAGCTCCAACTGCTTTTAATGCCTGCAAATTATTTAAGAAAACCTTAGGGTCAAGAGGTGTATGCGTGACATTGGGTCTCATTCATGAAACACGAGCAGAACGAATTTTTGTGTAAATTGTGTGTAAAGTGGTTCTGGCGTAAATTTTCGGATTCATTAAAATGTTCGTATTTTCCAAATGCTAGTTGGTACACAAGAAATCTACACCTGCTCCCAGCCACGCGTAAATAGTGCGCTTAACACCCGAACGTTTTGCTCATTAATAAGGCTGCATTTTAATTCACCTTAATCGGGTACATATTTGCACAGCATTTTGAAAAAATATTATATATAGTAATTACATACGGTTTTTCTTATTATGAGAGCCAGTAATAGCATCTGCGATGGTGGTCCTTCTCCAGTTTGAATACTATTTTTCCGAAGTGAACTAATTCGTTTTTTGCTCTCAAGCTTAATGTCGAACCATTTTCTTCTCACTTCTGGGAATGTTCGATTAACAGATGAAACTCCATTAACTGCATCTGTAATATGCTGCCAAGCTTCCTTTTTTTTTAGGACCCGATACGCCACTATGTACGCTTGAAAATAAAATGTGGCGTTTTGAATGAACTTCTGATAATAAAACTTCAATTTCTGCATCTGAGATTTTTTTTTTTTTCATTCGCATTCATGTCATAATATGATGCCCATATATAGCTGTCAGTCGGATTTAATGGGCGGGATTTATGGTAATTGAGAATGAACGTGCACGCGCATCGCATTTACGACTGATTGGAATTCATTAACACACACACACATTTCACTATCACATCTGACGTTTACGAAGTATTTGTGAATCAGGAGAAGAGTTTTCTGGAAGGTCTCTTTACGCGCAAATCACTCGCATATTTACTCGTATATTTACGAATGTTTCATGAATGAGACCCATTGTCTGTATATTTTATTATATAACATTTCATTTTATTCTTCTAACCACTGGGTACGAAGTGGTGGACAAAGTACACATCAAGTGCCTGAGTAAAAGTACAGATACCCTAATAAAATATTACTCCAGTAAAAGTATGAGTACACACTTTCAATTTCACTTGAGTAAAATGTACTTAAGAATTAAAAGTAAAAAGTACTGATCCATGAACCATGTTTATTATTTATTCTAGCCAGCACTAGTCAGAATAGTCATTAGTCAACAAAGATTAGTGCAGACTATAAAATATGTATTAATTTGCCCAAACCACTTACAAAATACAAACACACTAGCAAAACATCAAACTTCAGTATACTAAAATAAGTTACTGATAATTCGAGTATGCAAGCAAGTGAAATAATATACCATAGAGTAATTTAAAAATGAGGAAAAACTAAATTGTGTAGCTAAACATGTGGCTACAAATACAATACAACAGACGACACACAGGGCAAACTATATTAACATTTAAAGATGAAAACTATTGCAAACATACTAGTTTATATCATTTGAAACTTGTACAGCAGCGGGGAAGATGCTTGGACATACATTTTCGTTATTTGCCTTAAAATCATCATACAAAGACGGTGACATGTCCACATTGAGGATTTCAATGGGCTTCAAAAGCTTTTTTTCTAGATTTAGTTCACAGACAGTCATGACCTTAATATGATTTCATTTATTGTAACTAATTTACAGTATCTCACAAAAGTGAGTACACCCCTCACATTTCAGCAACCAATTCAGTATATCTTCTCAAGGGACAATACTATAGAAATGAAACTTGGATATATTTTAGAGTAGTCAATGTGCTGCTTGTATAGCAGAATATATATACTGTCCTCTGAAAATAACTCAACGTTTAAACTCTTTGTCAAAATAGCTGGCAACAAAAGTGAGTACACCCTAAGTGACCATGTCAAAACGGTGTCCAAAGCACCAGTGTTATCTAGCACTGCCTTAATCCTCCTAGGCATGGGATTCACCAGAGCTGCACAGGTTGTTGCTGGGATCCTCTTCCACTCCTCCATAATGACATCATGGAGCTGCTGGACACATGGCGCTTCTCCACCTTCCGCTGGAGGATCACCACAGGTGCTCAATGGGGTTTAGGTCTGGAGAAATACTTGGCCACCTCATCACCTTCACCTTCAGCTTCCTCAGCAAGACAGTTGTCATCTTGGCGGTGTGTTTGGGGTCGTTATCATGCCGTTCGGCCCAGTTTCTGAAGGGAGGGCATCATGTTCTGCTTCAGAATGTCGCAGTACATGTTGGAATCCATGTTTCCCTCAATGAAGCGCAGCTCTCCAGTACCAGCAGCACTCATGCAGCCCCAGACCATGATGCTACCACCACCATGCTTGACTGTAGGCAAGACACAATGTTCTTGGTACTCCTTACCAGGGCTTGTACTGTAACTCAGTTTCAGGGTGTTACCAATCTTCTTATAGCCTAGGTCAACTCAAATCCTTAGAGATTTCTTTGCCATGGGGTGCCATGTTGAACATCCAGTGGTCAGTATGAGAGAATTGTACTCAAAGCACAAATTTTAACTGCTCTAATACAAGATACACAAATTTGAATGGTCCTGTCAAGCAGACAAAAACATGAAAATGATGAATAGGACATGTGGCTTTGCATGATTAAACGACATACAGCTATTATCACTTTTGTTGCCAGCTATTTTGACAATAATGGCTGTATGTTGAGTTATTTTCAGAGGACAGTAAATATATTCTGCTACACAAGCAGCACATTGACTATTCTAAAATATATCCAAGTTTCCTTTCTATAGTATTATCCCTTGAGAAGATATAGTAAAATGTTTGCTGAAATGTGAGGGGTGTACTCACTTTCGTGAGGTACTGTAAATTTGGCATTATAACTTACTTTTCACGCCATCAGTCTCATGCATATTCAAGCTCTGAAGATATCCCGATGCTTGGCTCATTTTGACTGGATCATTAAATCAGTGAGTTGTTGATTAAAGAACAACTGCAAGCAGATCAGTCCGGTTCACAAAGGAATTGTTCTGTGTGATTTGTGAACCAATTCATCAGGTTCATTGGAAAGAAACAGCTTGGTTATGAATCGGGCATCGCTTTCATGTCTCAGAGGGGGTGGCGATTTTTTTCAGTTCGAAATGAGGAATATGCTTTTATGAAAAATAGTAAAAAGCACAATAATATGCTTTAGTGTGAAGTAAAAGTTTTCTGGAAAAGTAGAGATACTAGAAAAATATACTTAAGTACATTAACAAAGTAAAAATGCTTTTTTACTCTCCAGTGTCCACCACTGTGACTGTACGTTAGCATTTGACAAATGTAACATGGCCCATACATGTATGATTCTTCATATCAATAATATCACATCAATCTCAGTTCAGTGAGGCCAGAGTTTCTTCAACCACTTTCTGCTCATATAAAGCCTTTTTAAAGCCAAAAAGCCTTTGGCATTTGTCCATACATGACCAAATGGTTTCGGGATAATTCCCAAACACTCCAAGTGGACTCCTTAAATCCCCACCCCCCAACTCAATTGCAGGTCTGCATGGCTGGCCAGTGACATCTTTCTTATGAAGTTAAATGTATTTTACATATTGTGGATCACTACGGTTTGTTCAAAACTATTCTTGCTTCCTGAAATACTTTGCATCTCTACTTCCAGGATTCAAAATAGTGGCTGTCAAACATGGAATGCTATGCAAAAATTGATTTAAAAAAACAAATTAGCCATTGCAGTCAAACATGTTTATTACACCAGTCAGTTATTTGCACAATAGCCAGTTTTGACAGAACAATCACAGTAGGATTAAATCTACTGTTTAGGGGGGAAAATTCTCTATGAAGAGTTTTCCCCCATCACCATGTCCGTCATTTTCAGTCTAAGTTCCAACTCATGAATTAAAATGGAGACGATTCTTCGAACTTGCTTTGCCTGCACATGTTTTGGGTAAATATTGTCCAGGTCTAGTCAGGCTCATTCATTTTTCTTCAATATAATCTTGCTGCAGAAATCATGTCTTAAAACAATTGGGATAAAAATGACAAATATTTATATTAGTAAGACACACTCATTTTAGATTGCAATACATGTTTTATTTCACATTAGGCTGCTGCAAGTACATTTGAAAGTCACATTATGATTAACAATCTTACAGACTTTATAAAAATCACCTTAATTCAATGCAGTGAGGCTGATAAATTCTCAAGTGACCTGCAGGCTCTCCCAGAAATATATATATAAAAAAAAAAATTTTGCCTCATCATAGCATAAACATAATGTTCTCAGGGGAACAACAAGACTTTTCAAGATAGTCTTGAAATGTACTTACAGTTTGTTTGTTTTTTGAGAGTGCTTGTTGTCAAGGCTCTCCGCAGATGAGCTGTTCCACACTTCAGCTTTGTAAAAAGGCTGATAAACAGTGTGATTTATTCGCAGTCTTAGCCTGGCCTTGGACACGATCCAGTGCAAGTTCTAGAAAGCCCATCTGTGTCAGCTGTGAGGCCACTCTGGCCATACCCGTGGTCTAGAGAATCTGGAGAATGACTGGAAGCTCAGACTTGAATCATAAAAGCAAGTGGCATAGTTCTTAATGCCCATCCCTGCATAAACACTAACAGACTGAGACTTTGAAAATGTGAAATTGCATCTGTGCTGGCAGTTTATTCTGAGATTGATATTCACAAGCAGCACTCTTGAGTATTGAGCATTTGAGCCGCATTTAGATCCATCAAGGTCTTTTTGTCAGACAGTAATAATTTGATCTTATTACATTTGGGTTTTATTAAGATTCAGATGTTGAGTCTATATAAAGTGTAATAAAAATAAAACCAAATATTAAATTTATATAAAATACACATTAAATAAAAAAAAATATTGATATCTAAAATATAATAAAATAAAGTATAAAACTAATTCTGACTTTCTTTATACCTTTTTAAGGCCCTGACTATATCAAGCAGAGGTTCTCCAGTGAGCCCATTGAGATTAAAGAAGTACCAGAAGAAAAGAAAGAGAAATCGCCTTCAGGAAGTCCGCACTTTTATCGCAAAGGCACAACCCCAAACCAGTCCCCTTCCCAAAGCCCCGGTCCTACACCACCTCCCTCACCCCCCCTCAGCAAGAAAAAGCCCTTCTTTAACAGAAGTGCCCCTAAAGCCATCAAAGAAAACAAGCCCCCTGCTGCCGAAAACCTGGCAGCGGGCGCCACCAAGGCTACTTCCAGGATATCAGAAAAACAGGAAGTAAAACAGGAGGTAGTACCTGTAGCCAAACCCTCCAAGCCGCCGACGCCGGTCGCCAATGCCTCCAGCCCTGGGAACGGTGAGCTGCACTCCCAGTATCATGGATACTTTGTGAAGGCTGAGGTGATGATGCCACCTGATGATCTGGAGGATGAAGAACACCAAGCAATGCCGACTGCTCTTGCCAGGATGCCCCCACCTGCAAAGCAGTACCGTGCACCGACACCCAAACCAGTAATGGCCAAAGAGAGCAAACCCGAGCCCAAACTGAAGAAACAAGAATCATTGAAGCCAAAGAGCCTAGCAGAAACTAAGAAAGCCAGCATGGAAATTACTACTGACATTGTTGAGGAGGAATCAGTAAGTAGCTGCAATATGCATGACATTTATTGCTAAAATGACTATTCTTGACTGCATACTGAATAACATAACTGTGCTCTTTGCACAGTATATTGAAAATGTTATTTTTCACAGATGCATGATATCTATATAATCAATATTAAAATTCTATATTATTTATTTTTAAAAATCCTTTTATGATATAAGTGAATTTAAGCATCACGACATTATAACGTACAGTATGTAAATGGATATTTATTTTTGAGATTTCCTAAAGATTATATTTAGCTGTGTTATTAATGTTTTAAAGATTAGTGTTTAAAATTATTTTAAATTAGTTACATGACGGAAAAGGAATAGTAAAATATAATACTGCAATATACAATATTGGCTAATACCAATACATTTGAAAATATCTAATATCGGCCAATAAATCAATTTGGTACATCACTACTAATATGCACCCTTTAGGGGTAAATAAAGTACAAAAGTGTACCTTTTGAAAGGGTAGCTCCCCAGTGACAGCTTTTGTACCTGTTTTTTTTTTTTTTCTGAGATTGTATGTAAATTATTTTAGTTGTTAGTATTTATTTGACATTTATTTAAACACAATATTATAGAATTTAAATATTGGCCATTTATCGACCATAACATGAAAATGATTAACGGCTTTTCGGTATTGGCCAGGATATTTTCAGTTGCTATTTGAGAGCAGGTGGCGTTTTGAGTTTATCTACATTTGATTGCTAATCTACAGCTTTGTCTCTTGTTGGTTATTCAGGGTCCCAACTCAATATTGGTCATTCTAGTGATGCTGATAAATATTGGACTGGCAATTATTTTTGTCCATTTTCTCACTTGACGGAACATTAAACTCAGGTAAGACTCTCGCACTCAAATGGAGGATTTTGCAGGTTGCCATAGAACCTGATCTTTGCCCCATGTCAGTCACCAACTAATGTAGTCTACCTTACTCTTGCCATGTAATTGCAGCTGTGCCTGAATGTTATTCAACATAATTACTTACCCTCTAACTGTTTCGACCCTTCAGTGAGCTCATGAAAACTAGCGGCATAGGCCCCTAATTCTCCGCAGTTGCGTCAATGGCCTTTAAAACAAAATGACGCCAGTCAGACTCAGACACAGGCAAAGGACTGGACGACTGGAATTAGAGCAAATCATGGGAGAAAGACGAAACCCGGACCATTCGGCCTGAGCCAACCCAGTTCCTCTGGCGATGATTTGTTACTCGCTTGGGCTCTGAAAGCTGAAGCAAGCAGTCGTTGGGAAAGAAAAAGAATCTGCTGATCCAAGCCGTACCCAGTCAAGTGCATGTCCACCCCCGCTGCTATGGGGAGGGGTGGAATGGGGGGACTTAACTGGATATGTTCGGAGATGCACTTTTAGTTGACAGAAGCAAACAGCTGCCTTACTATTTTACCAACTGACGTTTTAAAGGGGAGATGTGCAGTGGGTTGCCAGTGTGTTTGGGCAGCAGGAGTGTGTACCAGTGTCCGCTTTCCACTTGGTTCAAAACACCATGCACATTTTGAAAGGGTCACTTGCCAGTCTTATTCCATTACCCATCTCTACAGCCTTGTCTAACATCTGCTCCTGTTTTAGGAGATTCATCCATGACATGCCTGTGCATGGTACTGGTTTAACGACTTTGTCTTGACGTTTTTCTTTCTGTTGTGTTCTTTTTTCTGCACCTGTAGCTAAAGATGATGAAAATATCTATTCTCATTCTCAGAAATCAAACTTGAAAATAACAGCACGTTACAGTTGTAACTTTAAGATGACCTACTGAGACAACAAAATCAAATATTATTTATTGAAATATTGGCTTTTGAAAAATGCAAGTACAGTGCGTGGTTTGATTTAAAAAAAATATTTATTTGAAGTATTATTGTAAAATTGTGTGTATTTTTCAAAAAAAAAAAAAAAAAAAAAAGGTATGTTTGTAGTATGTTTGACATTGTACTTACTGTAGGGTATAATGCATGGCTTTTATTTTTTGATAAATGACTAAATGTTACATTTTGCACCTTTAATCTTCATGGCCTGATATACTGTGCCCTCTAACCCCCCACCCTCCCCTAAACTCCCTCGCTCTACCCCTTAACTTGACATGTGCAGAGCGGTACCTGCCTCAATATTATGCCTGCAAAATTGTGTTGAATACATTCAGGTCGACCCACTGGTTATAAATGCGAATGTAGAGATGGCTGCCTTTAAAGAATTTATAACAGTGTTATAGTTTACCTCAGACAATATGTGATTTTTGAAATGTTGTCTTAATTAGAAATTTTGTGGAAATCTGCAGTTATTCTCCATTATTTTAGTCTGGTGGTGCATGAAGATGTGGTTGCAATTAATGTGCACATGGTGCATTTGCACCAGTATTTAAATGACAAATGTATACATATAAATAGATATATTTTATATACAAAGTCAGAATATATTTAGTCAACAGTTGGACAGTTAATGGCCTTGACTAAAATTACAGCACAGCATATTTTGCTGATTGATTCGAACATCCTGCATGCACGTCGTATTTGGGTGCCACGGATGTGGGGCTGTATGTGTCGTGTGAAGAATGAATTTCAGCAGTAACAGGCTGACTATTTTTACAGAGGTTTTGTCAGACTGCGAGAGTATGTGAGAGGGAAGGAGGAGGGAAGAGAAGAGCATCAGAATGGATGATGGCTTGTCATTTGACAAGAGAGATTAATCTTCAAATGTAGAACAGACTTATTTTTAAAGAATTATTTATTTTTTCCTTTTGTGGCAGGAGGAAACACCATTGATTTACACTCATCGGCTATGTACATGGCTATTTTTAATTTGTTTTGTTTTGTATTTCTGTTTATATTCCATCCTGACCTGATGCATATTAGATGTAATTAAAAGTTCCCCATGGAATTTGGCATTTGTTAAACAAATAAAGATTTTTGTCATTTTGTTTTTAAGCATCTCTTTACCAAGCAAAGTTACAATTTCTGTATTTAAAAAAACAAAAAAAAACAAAAAAACAGCAAGATTTTAAGATGTTTTGGTGTAAAACAGCATTTAACTCTTTCGTGCTGTCACGATTGAAGATCCAGCGTAGCTCTTACTGGGTCAAATTTACCATACAAAACTTCACAGTGGAAGAATCTAGACTGCACTGAAGTTTTAGGCTAAAAAGTTGCAGTAAATCTGTGTTAAAGAATAAACCGGATTAAACAAATGACCTGCAACAGCACGGAAGGGTTAAATACGGCATTTGAAATGGCTTTAATATGTCAATGTAAGATCTTCACATTTTCAAACTCATTTGAATGTATTGTTTTCATTTTAAAGGTTGATGAAAGTTTTGATATGAACTGTCCCACGCATCTTAATGACACTGAAACGTATATATAAATAAATTGTTTTTTGTTTTTTTTTGGAAAGTATTGATATAAATTATAATTAAAAAGGTGACTTTGCAAAGTCTTGACGCATGTCCTGACATTATTTTATCCCATTTCATTGACCAGCACCCAGTCCAAATCATATAATAACCTATTATAAGTCAAAGAAGAGTTTTAAATGACTATACAGATTAAAACAGAAAATTATTAGACAGAGTACAGCTCAGACAGGGGGCTCCCATTACTGCCTCTCTAGCGCAGGTATGCTTTATTTTAAAGCGGTCCTTCCCCCTTGAGTGTGAAAATTGTTCCTTGTCTAGAGGATTGCTTTGGTGATCCTAAGACCAAAATAGTGCGAAGCAGCTGCTGTTGGCTGGTAGAGAGTCGTATTTGAGCACCATGAGAGTTGCGCCAGCCTATGTCGTCTCTCTCCTCCTCTGAGCTCACTGGAGCGAGTGGAAGGTCACCCACCAGCTGCTTTGTTCTTCTCTTTTAGTATATGAACATGGACCCCATAGTGGACTATAGTTAATATAGAAAAAGCCTGAAATAGAGGCTCGACCAACAGACATAACACTCAAAGTTCTGTTGCTCATCAGCCACAGCCATTAGCGCCTAATCTCACGTGACATTTTACCTCAAAAACCTCCTGCTGACGCACGAACAGGAAGAGGATCACACAGAGGTACTGTAGTCACGTGACGTCAGAGTGAGCCGTGTTGGTATTTCCTCCAACTTCAGTACGTCGTGTGATTGTTTGCATCATTTTTGAAAAAGTTCTCTCGCACAAATGGTTGAGACAAACTTAGAACCTGTGTAGTTTGAGAAATATTTTGGTGGGAATTGTCAAGGTTAAACATTTGTGGCATGTGAATGGGAGACAGTGAGAAACCTCAACCATCTCAAGCTACATACACCGGCTCATATTTCACAGGTCATCACTTCTACAGAAAAGGCTTGCTGTAAAGAGCCATTTATGAATGGAGTGGATTTTTTTCTTGTTCAGTTTTCAGTGGTCTTCTAACAAGAAGCAAATTGTTTTAGATTTATATATGCTCCAACATGTTTTTCCCCCCAAAAAGTAATTAAATTATTAAAGTAATTAATTTAAAGTCCTATCACAAACGCTCGAGGGCACAGACGATGATCGTTCCTTAGTTCAAAATGACATGTAGTACATTAATATGTGACAAATGAAAACATTTTTGCATCTCAACATCCCTTTTGAAACATACAGTGGGCAAAGTGGAGTTCCCTGATTAACCCTGTACTCTTAACCCTCCTTGCCCCCTCCCTGCCATTAGATATCTAGATTGATATGTCCCAAGGGTCAAAGCTGCGAGGTCAGCCCGTCCTGAGACACCTGCTCAATCTTGTCAGGCCTGCAACACCCACACTCCCACTGTGAGTACCTCACACCCAACCCTCTTGACAGGAGTGTGTCCAGCACACATACTGTATATATTACACTGACAAATACAGCATCTGTCTGCTATGTGGCGATTTCACTTGTCTTTTGTCATATGAGGAAGGGCTGCAATTTAATTACTCTCTCTCTCTCTCTCTCTCTACTACTGTCCGGAAAAACTTTTTGACAGAATATTTTGATTCAGCAAGGACAAATTAAATTACAAAAAAAAGTCACATTACAGATAGAATTCTGAAAAAAATATATTATTGTATGCATTATTATTATTTTTAACTTTCATAAAAATAATAAATGATTTTTGTACACCAAATCAGCATATTTATATTAGAATGATTCAGCTTTGCCATCACAGGAATAAATTACATTTTACAATAGCCTATATTAACATAGAAAACAGTACATTTTCTTAGTTGTTAAGTTGTAATGATAATATGCAATAATACTAATTTTATCATTTATATATGTGACCCTGAATCACAAAACCAATCACAACACTGTAAACCCTAACGCTCAAAATACTTAATTGGTTTGAGTAGTAAAAACTTAAATTAAACTAATTAGTTCAGTCAAATTAACTTTTATGAGTATTTAGCACTTTCTTTTTCTTTCAAGTTCACAGAATGGATATATTTTAAGTAAACTGAACTGTTTCATTATTTTGAGTTTTATGAAATTATTTATTTTAATTTAGACGAACTTAAGTTTAACTGAAACGGCTGGGATGTATATTTCCCAGCATGCTTTGCCGATGGCACTCGAAAGGGAGAGTAAATGCTAAAATTAAGTGTAATACAATGTTTTTTTGTGCAAGATTAATGTTAAGCGGGTGATTTAGTAATGATTAATGTTTCGTTATGCTAATTTAGAAGAATTTCTGTTAATGTTGGTTTTAGGATAGTTACCATCATGGTGACAAGTGGTGCATGAGCTTGATTTGAGAGCAAATTAAACCTTTATATTGCTGCAAGTGTTACTCTATAGCATACTATTGTTAAGATGTTAAAGTAACACTATGTAGTTTTTCAACCTTCATAATATATTTCCAAGACCCTTGTGATGGTACATCGACTTAAACTAAGTTAAATGACACGTCTGCCATAGCCTGACGTGGTCTGTATCGCTTTTACTGGCACTATGTAACTTCGGGTTTCGGGTAGGAACCCGTGCACAAAAAGAACTACAAAATTCGACTGCTTTACGGCATACGTCACTTCCCCCACCACTTCCTCAAATTGTCTGTGGCCATTGCAGACATCCCAAGTCTCCCGGGAGTCTCCTGCGTCTCCCTGATGCCCGCAAATTAGTTCAGATCTGCCGGAATCTAGAGCGCGCATGCGAGACAGAACATACTGCGCGCATAACATACATAGCGCGAGCACGGCTGAGAGAGAGAGAGCGAGAGACCTTGCGAGTGTGCCTCACGAAAGCTAGTCAACCCGCCACCAGCCGCCCCCCCCCCCGTCAACAATCCAGTCACCAAGATATACCTCCCTGAAATGACTTCTTGCAGGTTGGGATGTCTGCCATTGTTGATTCCAAAGCCGGTGCTGGATAAACAGCGAGCGTGCGCGTGCGACAGTCGGCTGCAGAAGGCTAAATTATTTACGACAGCAGTAATGGACAATTCTGCTTCCAAACTGTAGGGCGACCGCTGAGGAAAAATCACATGGTGTTGCTTTAACAAAATAGTATGTTAGCAAACTAGCTTGCTAAAGCTAGCTAAGTTTATACTAATAAAAGTGTTCACATTGAGATTACATGCAATTTTAAGTTAAATGTATGAATTAGTGTACTCAAACCTTTCAAGTTAAGAACAATTCAAATGTACAAATATAAAATAAAAATATGTCAGTTCTGCTTACTTAAACTTTGAATTTCTTAACTTAAAAAATTTGAGGCAACTGATTGCCTTAAATTTTTTGAGTTGTGCCAACTTATTCGGGTTTACGGGTATATTTGTGGCAAATGGGTCAAAATTATAGATTTTTCTTTTATGCCAAAAAACAGGATATTAGTAAAGATCATGTTCCATGAAGATATTTTGTAAATTTCCTACCGTAAATATATAAAACATTTATTTTTGTGAGTGAATGCAGCACAATCGCGAACATAAATGGACAAATTTAAAGGTGATTTTCTCAATGTTTCGATTTTTTTGCTCCCTCAGATTCCAGATTTTCAAATAGTTGCATCTCAGCCAAAATGTCATATCCTAACAAACCATGCATCAATGGAAAGCTTATTTATTCGGCTTTCAGATGATGTATAAATCTAAATGTAAAAAAAATGCACCCATGTGACTGGTTTTGTGGTCCAGGGTCAATATATATATATATTGATATAATTATATATAATTTACCAAAAAAATGTCCTCACAAGGACAAGGATTTTGGAGACTGCACCCTTGTCCCCATAACGTAGGGTTTAAGACAGACAGACAGACACAAACACACACACAAACACACACACACACACACACAGACACAGTACATATATACCAGTATATGTTTTTATAATTATTAAAGTACTGTATTATTATGGAATGTTTGTTTAGAATATTGGACAATCAATCAATACACACAGAAACACTTTCAAAAAGATATACTAACAAATTATTCCCATTTACATTCATTAACAGAACCATAACTTTTAACTTAATATATTATGTGGTGACTCGTGTTTCTGTGATCAGGTGCCATATGGTAATGTCTCACAAATCACATATTTAGAAGAAATGAGTAAGAGCAACTCTTGGTTGATGGCAGACACTGAATGAAGCTGCCCAGGACTCTTAATTTAACCTCCTTTATTTCAGTCTGTCCAAAAATCAAATGGGACAGCGATTCTGAATGAATGATAATACTCAGCAGCTGATAATGCACCATTCAGGAAGAAGAATAAAGTTCCTCATTGACAGACTGCTGGGCGGCCTGAAGGGGTGCAGTCTTTCCTATTTGGCGGAATCTAAATGTTATTTAGAACTCAAATGTTTGATACTAACTGGTATCAAAACAGTGTGCATGCCAATTTTTCTTATTACTAGAATGACAACACGTCTAAGAACTCCAGAGTAATCATTACAGTGACGCTCATATGCTTTAACCACTGACGATCACTTGATCTGCCCGGAAACAAAACCGAAAATGCAGAATAAATAATGACATCTATAGCTCAAAAAAGAAGAAGAAGAAGAAGAAAAAGAAGAAGAAGAAGAAGCTGTATACTCCATGTATTTTGCCCTATAGTCCTCCCAGCTGTGGGACAAACAAATGATTCTTATTGTCATCATTTTTTGCTTCTATAGAGGCATTGAATTGTAATGTCACTTTGTTTCCAAGGTCATCAATAATGTTTACAGTCAGATAAATCTGATACTCTCCCTGGAAAGTAAAATAGGGCAATCTGTTAACTAGCTTATATTTTATTTATTCTAATCTATTCTATTTTGTATTATTATTATGTATATATTATATTTTAATATACTTCATTTCTGAGGAATTAAATTAAAATAAAACATCACATTTAAATTGGAGCGGATAAAGCATTATATTGATTGCTCACCTCAGGGCCATCAAACTTTTTCATGTACAATGGAAAGGTTGCATGAAGTGTTTCTGAAACAAGAAGCAATCTCATTGATATCCCATCTGCATCA